ATGAGACTTAAGTGAAAGCCAGGTTTATTGCAAGAGAAATGAACACGCATGTGGCGCCCTAAGATATCAGTCTTTACCCGAGTTTGCATATGTATGACAATACAACAAAAGAAGGAGGAGAAAACATGTATCTCCACCTAAAGGGGTGTGGCATGGGAAAAGAAAGGTGCAGCAGTAAAGGTGGGAAAAGGAGGAAAACCTCTAGTGAAGGGGAGGAGCAAGGTGATAGCAAAAGCAGTGTGCTTTTCCCTTGGGAACTGCTAGACTATGAAGATAGGAGGGTCCCCTGATCTGCAAAGGACCCCAGCTGCACAAGCATTTACCCAGACAGACACAGACTGGCTGCTGCCTGTCTTGCCTCCCAAGGACACTCAGGGAATCCGGCTTGGGGTGCAGCCAACAAATTATGTCAGTTGTGGGGGGCTTCATCTTGGACACATTCAGGGCTTCCTACATGCTCTGGGTCCAGTGTTTCTGGAAAATATGGCAACTCAAAAATACAAATTCAGGGGACCCCTTACTGGTCCTTAACACAGCCATTTGTAATTAGCCTTTTCTTAATGATGGTATTTTCTAAGGTGGTATATTAAGAACAATTGGTATAATACATCCTCCCCAAACCTGGGACATGCTTTCCCACAGATAGACACAGAACCCAGGGGAAGAGTGGTTTTAAATTTGGAGTAGCATGGTGTCACATCACGCGTGTAGAGAGCCCGTGGCCAAAGGCTAAATTCACAGATACTTTTTTGAGTCTAGAGCGCAAGGTGTCACACTTCTTGAAGCTGCTTCCTCCTTCGGGTGGGTCACTTTCTGTATCCAATTGAGGATAGGTTTGCTCACGATTGTCCTTGGTGTGTTCTTCTCTGTTCCCAGATGGATGTGTTGTCTCCTATTAGTCCAGTCTCTCTGGAGTTAGGGGAGAGAGAGAGAGAGAGAGAGAGTCAGAGACAGAGAGAGACAGAGACAGAGAGACAATGATAGAGAGAGACAGACTCTTCTAAACCTTGATTAAGAGATTGACTGGTTCATTACTTTTATGAGGTCACCACTGTAATGATTGTTATTTTTATACTTGATCTTCTCAACCATGCGCAAGATGTTTCCTGTGTGCTGTCTTCTGCTTTTTACCTAATGGCCAAAAGCCTTGTGATCTTTTCAAACTGATTAAGCCTTGTCTATCCATTGTGATGAAGTTATATGAAAATTCTTCCTTAATTTCTAGTTTACTTTGTTGATTGATTGATTGACTGGGGGTGGGGCATGGAACCCTCCCTTACACTCTAAGCAGGTTAAGGCCTTAGGGTGGGATATCATTGGTATAGAGAGTTCCTAGGTGAATGGACTCCCTCTACTAATGGAGGTTGGTACTTTCTCTGAAATCTACACTCTTAGAGAGTTGCATAGAGCCGTGGTATACTGTAGGTAAATGTAGGAAATAACATATCCAGAAGCCCACTTGCCCCATAGAGACTCCCTTCTTTCTGTATCATCTCATTCAATGCTTTTTCCTAGCCTTGGATTGTAACTGTGGGTGAAATAATGCCTTTTACTGACTTATACTCTAAATTGTAAGCAGTAGGTTTCCTTTTGAAGACAGTTTTATATAGCATTTTTCATTTTCCACATATCTTATAGCACTTTCCTAAGTAATGAATTAAAATCCAGCTGGAATAGTACCAGGTGAGTAGTTAGTGAAACAGCTGTTAGGAGCCCAGCATTTCCTTAAAACAATTCTTGGATATTATTTTCTTCAAAAGAGGAATGTTGACCTTGTAGTGTTGCCTTTCACTGAGACCAGTTGCTGGACCTGGGTATATGAAGACTTGAGGTTGGGCTTCATAAAAAAATGATACTTTCAGCAGCATTAATCATGCTTGTCTTATATGTCTCATGGCTGAAAAAGCATAGTGCTTACCAGTCTTAGTGTGAAAAACCCGAATTGTGAGCTTCTGTACCATTTCTTTCTGTTGTTCTTTAGGTCGCAAGCATTTTATTGATACAGCTAACAAATCACAGGTCCCTCATCCCACTCCTCCAAATCACTAACTTTCAACTGTCTCAAATAGTGGGGGCAGGGAGATGACTTGACTGAAACCTACAGATAATCTAAAGCCCTTGTTAGCCAATAGTATCCCATAAAGCCATCTATCAGAGCTGCTGCCAAGAGGCTAGCCAAGCTCTATCCGGGGTCTTCTTGTCTTCTTCTGTACTATAGTGCCAAGCACATGGTAGGTATTTAATAAAGGTTTATTGATTGACTGATCTCATCAGCTCCTAGGACTTGAATGACCCTAGCTTTGTAGTTCATTCCTAGATTTGTCTAAACAGCCCTAATCTCTCTCCTGGGCTCCAGTACCACACCTCCAATAGACTATTACACGCCTCAAGTTGGATGTCTTAAAGGCATCTCAAATTTAACACACTCAAAACAGAATTCGTTATCTCCCTACCCCCAGCCCAACTTTCCCCTTTTCCTCTTGAGGAAACAGTCTCGCAGGCTTGCAACTTTGGTGTTGTCATCCTTATCTCCTCGCTTACACTCCTTACACTTATCCAATCTTGTCGTTTTTACCATCACAGCATCTTTTGCATCCACCATCCCTTTTCTCTGCTAACACAGGTACCACATTAGTGTGGGTCCTTGTCCCTTCTCATCTGGACTATGTAAGTCGCCTTCTAATGTATCTCCCAGCTCCCCTCTTTTATTCCTCTTCCACTTAGCTCCAAAATGATTTTCCTAAAATGAAGATCTGCTCATGTTACTCCCCTACTCAATAATTTCAAGTTACTCCCTATTAACTCAAGGATAAAATATAAAGTGGTCTGAATGGCATTTTCAATATTGTAACAGCCTGGCCTCTTTCTACCTTTCCAGAATCCTTATACTTTACTGCCCTCCACAGAGTTTATAATTCAGCTACCCTAGCCTACTTTCCATTTTTCACACACAACGCTGCATCTTCTGACTTGCCAGGGGTCCCCCTTGCCTAGGATGCTCTTCCTCTTTGCCTCTGCCTTTTGGCTTTCCTGGCTTCTTTAAGGACTCAGCTCAAATCTCACTCCTTGTAAGAGACCCTTCTTGGTCCCTTCCTCCCCTAGCTGCTAATGCTTCCTCTGAGATTACCTTCGATTTACATTTTCTGTATCTTATATGTACATTTTTTTGCATGTTCTCTCCTCTATTAGACTGTAAACTCCTTGAAAGTAGAGACTTTGTTTTTGTCTTTCTTTATATTCCCAGTGTTTAACTTTGTGCCTGGCACATGACAAGAACTTAATAAATGCTTTTTGACTTACTGACTGGCCTTTTTGAGAAAGAAAAGTGTTAGTAGGTAATGGAATGGCCAAAAGACCACAGCTAGAGGGAGAAAGAGGAAAAACTGAGAGGGTAGATTGTGAATAAATTTGGTGAATCAGTTCCTAGGTAATCAAGAGTTCTATTTGGTTAATTGATTTCTCTGCATATCATGCTTATATTTGACTCCTTTGGAAAATGCATTTTCTGAAAACGAGAGATTGCCTGGCTGGCTGGTTGTTGTGCAGGCTCCTGAAACAGTTTTCCTGATTTTGATATGATTCCGATAGAACTGTATTAAGGATGGAGGGGAGCTATGCACAGGGGCCTGGGATTCAACAATGAATCCAGCACCACTGATGCAGCGCTTACATTGCTAGGCATAGATAGACCTGTGGTCCTGTAATTCGCCTGTCCCTTGCCTCCCATTTCCCAGGATCGAGCCCTGGACTGTGAAGCAAATAAACCCTCTGGTGGGTTTGATTTTGGGGCCATGTTAGAAAACATTGAGTTGCTGTGACTACCCAGGCCCAACAAGTTTCTCTTTATCAAGGCCACATGCGATTATGGGACCCACAGAGCCGCAGGCTGTGGGCAGACTCTCTGTCATCTTCCTTTGGCCAGTGTTTTTGATGTGTGACATTCTTGCTAAATGCTGTCAGGGCTAATCCATCATGTTTCAGATGATCTGCTTGGACTCCTGCCTTTTAAAATCGACAGAAGTGTGGCTGAGATAATGTTATCCCCTGGAAGCATTCAAGGAAGGGGTGGGCTGAAGAGGCAGCGTGGGCTTTGAACTAACCCAGACTTTTATGTGCAGCTCTAAGGTGGTTTTTTCTACTTATAATGTCCATTTCCACGGCTTTGTTCAAGACTAGCAGTGTTTGTTTTTGTACATCGGCATCCAAATGTCTTATGTAAAGAGAATGTTATTCTGAATTTCACACAATCCCAAGGCACTGAGTGCTGGAGTTGGGTAAACAGAGACAGAAGTGAAATAGGCAACTGCTTTCAGGGAGCTTACATTCTATTGGAGGAAACAGTATGCATATAGAGAAGTCAGTGCAAAACATAAATAATCTCACTTTCCATAGCTCCTCGCACAGAGACTGGGATGCCATCAGCGGATCTTTGAGAGGGAATACAAGCTGGGGGAGCAGAGGAGTCTCCTTTATCTTAAGGGTGCACTAGCAGTATCCAAGTCTCTGTGGGAGGGGCTGTTGAAGCTGGGGTTACATATGCAAAGTAAATATAGAGTCATCTGTATGAGCGGTTGGAGAGGGGAGAACCAATGCCTTGGAGGGGGTGATTAGGAAGGACCTAATATGTAGAAGAGGTGGTATTGAAACCTCCCTTTGGAAGAGCTAGAGATTACAGGGAGCCCAGGTGAAGGGTGACAACAGTGTTGTACGCATGGAGGACAGCTTGTGTAAAAGTACAGCGATTTAAGACAATTTCATGAATGGAGAACAGCAAGCTGACACAAGGGTATAAGGAAAGTAATGAACAATCACAGCTGGGTGGCACAGTAGGTGGAGTGCTGGGCCTGGACTTAAGGAAGCCTCATCTTCTTGAGCTCAAATCTGGCCTCCAATACGTGTTAGCTGTGTGACCCTAGGCAAGTCACTTAACCCTGTTTACCTCAGTTTCTTCATCTGTAAAACAAGCTGGAGAAGGAAATGGCAAACCACTCAGTGTCTTTCTTAAGAAAACCCCAAACGAGGCCACGAAGGGTTGATGAAGACTGAAATGACTGAACAGTGACAAGAATGAAGAGTCAGCCTGGAAAAAATATGTTGGAGCCAGATTGTGAAGGATTTTAAATGCCAAACAGAGGAGTTTTATGTTATCCTACGGGGAGTTCCTGAAGAAAAGGAGTGTGATGTGGTCAGACTTGGGTTTTAGGAATCTCAAATCGGCAGCTATGTGGAGGATGGACTGCAGAGGGGAAGAGCCTGGAGTCAGTGACACCAGTTAGGAGACTTTGGACCAGGTGAGAGGTAATGAGGTACAGTGAGGGCAATGGCTGCGTGAGTGCAGAGAAGGGGACCAATCCAATGTGGTCGTACGTAGGATAGGCAAAATTTGGTAACTCGTTGGATATGGGGAGGGAGAGAAAGGGAAGAGTGGAGAATGATGCAGACGGAATTCAAAAGGGCAGATTCTAGGTTAAAAAATACACACAACAGGAAATCATTTCCCTGACAGGCAAAGAGATCTGCATAAATGGCTCCTAAATCCTTTATTTGTTTTTAAAAGGAAGGCTATGAAAGCAAACGTTTAGGAAAATTCTCTCATATTTCCCCCGCAGCGGCACAAGAGAGAAGCCCGTATTTTGGAGCTGAAGGTCATGATTCTCGCTCCTTCCCTTCTCCTCTTGTGAGGTACCTGACAACTTGTCATGTCTCTGCAGGCAGAATGTAGTGGATCATCCCATATGGTCCATTAATTCTTCCCTTTCTTCTTCCTGAACAAAGAAGGTGCCATTAAACTGTTGTGGAGGGTGTGAAAATTGTAAAAGATCAGGAAAAAGAACATTTGCTTTAGTTATGCAGGTGGTCAAAGGATAACACATCTTTCTTTTACATTATATTTCACTACCATCTGGCAAACCCCTAGCCTAAATGACACATGCTAGATTAATCAATTCATCACTCCCATTGCAAATGGCAACTCTTAGGAGCAAAGGGTGTTTGTTCTTTCTCAGCACTGGGGAGGGGGAGAAGGAGAGGAAGTATTTAGGAGAAGAGCTTGCTTTTGTGGGTTTTTAAAATCACGGTGAAGAAGAAGTTCTATATTTCTATGTGGTCCTTGTTTTTTCTTAAAGAAGCAGGAGAATCCAAGAGTGGGATCCATGGGGATTAGGGGTTATTTCTGAAAACAACAACAGCAACAACAAAAACCAACTAGTCACCATCTATCTCTACAGTTGGCTTTGCAAATGCCCATAATGCCAGACCACAAGGTGGAATATCCCAGAAAGACCCAAGGTGGAGTGGATGATGGCAGATCATTCTGAAGATGATACAATGTGCAGGCAATACATCTATACCCACCCCTAAGCCTAGCTGACCTTTGAAATGACCCCTTCCCTGCAAATGGCAAGGTCAGTCAACTTTAGGTCTGTTTTCCAGGAGGAATCACTGGGCAACTCACTTCCAGCAAGAGCTAGGGATGGGGGGAATATGGGGTCCCCCAAAGTGACCACTTTTTTTTCTAGAAGGCCAGTTGTAGGGCTATGTCCTTCGAAGATAACTTTTCTCATTGAGATAAGGCTCCAGAGTTAGAAATATGAATTTAGAGGGAGAAGTCCAAGAAAAAAATCATTGTATTTGGAGTTAGAGTACCTGGATCGAAAGCCCCAGAGTACCTGGGGAAATCTCGATAAAGTCTACAACCTCTCTGGACCTCAGTTTCCTCATCTGAAAAATGAGAAGGTGGGACTAGATGAGTTCTGAGGTCCCTTCCAGCTCTAAACTTATGATCCTATGAACTCTCCTTGTGTTGCAAGACTGCCAGCGCCTTCAGATCAGTAATGAGGGTATCAGGCATGCTGGAAATATATTATCATGTTCCATTAGGGTGCCTGATTGACTCCTTTTAAAACAAAACAAAGCTCACTTTGATTTATTTAGCAAACAAAAAGAGGATTGTTAATAACTGCCTTCAAGAGGAATTGGAATGTAGGGGCAATAACTCCTGGATTCCTCTTAGAGCTTCAGGAAATCAAGAAAATATCATTAACAGGTTTTGTGCATTGAAAATAGCTTCTTTCTCTGAATTAGGGCTGTAATGACACAAACCAGCTGCCTCGTTTCCCTTTCTTCCAAACCATTCAAGGACGCTTTTCCAAGGGGAAAGGGTAGAGGCAGCAAATCTGCCTGTGTGGGGGCGTTTCAGATAATAAAAGATTAAACTGGAGAGGTTTCCCCCTCCTCCCAAAAGGAGGGTTCATTCTTCCCCTGGGAAGGTTATAATTCTTAGCAGTTAAGATCAATCATGGAGTAGGGTGCTGTTTTGTATGGAGTTTAAAGAAGAAGGTGGGGCAATATGTTAGTGGCAATAATACTGGTTAGAGGACATGGGTTCAAATCCTACCTCTTTGCTTACTATCGATGCCTCAGTTTCCTCCTCTAGGCAATGGGGGGAAGTTGGACAAGGCAAGGGTAATTTACCTTTTCTGTGTCATAGACTCTTTTGGCAATCTGGTGAAGTCTGTGGAACCCTTCTCAGAGTGATGTTTCTAAATAAATAAAATAAAATACAGAGGATTGAGAAGGAAACCAATTAGAATCAGAATAGCTAGCGTTTAAATATCGTTTTCAGTTTTGCAGAGAGCTTTAGAAATATTATCTTATTTGGTCCTCACAACAACCTTGAGAGGTAGTTGTTATTATTAACCCCATTTTACAGATTAGGAAACTGATGCAAAAAGGGGTTGTGACTTGCCCTGGGTCATACAGCTAGTCAGTGTCTGATGCAAGATTTTTTAAATTCAGGTCTTTCTCACTCCAAGTCCAATCATTTATCCATGGTACCACCTACCTGCCAATTGTATTGAGACCAGTTATGTTGGAATACAGTTATCAAAATATTGAAAAAAACAAGCTTCTGGACCTCAGATTTGGAACTCATGGGTCATTAGATGATCTCTGGGGTTCTGTGAAAGTAATTGTGGAATTGGGAAGCAGTAAGATGGATAAATATAGTCCACAGAGGTTCCCCCGATTCGTTTAGTCATTTTGATTGAAACTCCTTTACCAGCTAGGTGGCACAGTGGATAGAGCCCTGGGCCAGCCGAAAGGAAGACCCAAGTTAATCTAGCCTCAGACATTTACTAGCTGTGTAAGCTTGGACAAGTAACTAGGCTTCTCATAGCCTCAATTTTCTCATCTATAAAATGAGAATAATAACAGAGCCTACCTCCCAGTGTTGTTGTGAGAATAAAATTAGCTAATGTGTGGAAAGTGTTTTGTAAACCTTAAAATGCTACATGAATGTATTTTTTAAATTATTTTATTCTATTTTTATTATTACTATGCTACTATTACTATTATTGCTATAAATTACTATCATTATTTTACCAGAGAGGTAATGATAAGAGTGGGCAGCTAGATAGCATAGTGGGCCTGGAATTAGGAAGATTCATCTTCCTGAGTTCAAATATGGCTTCAGACACCAGCTGAGTGACCCTGGGCAAGTCACGTAACCCTGTTTGCCTCAGTTTCCTCATCAGTAAAATGAGCTGGAGAAGGAAATGGGAAACCACACCAGTGTCTTTGCCAAGAAAACCCCAAATGGGGTCACGGACTGAAGAACTGACTTGAAAAAATTTCATGACTGAAAAATGACTAAACAACACAGCAACAAATAATAATAAGAGTAAAATGAGTTGACTTTACTGATCTTTAGCTGCTACTTATCAGTTACATGACTGTGGACAAGGCATTTCTTTTTTCTAGATCCCAGTTTCCTTTTCTGTAAAATGAAAGGATTGGAATAGATGATCTCTGTGATCCCTACAGGCTCTAAATCCTATAATCCAATCAATAACTGACATTTATAGGATGCTATTAGCTTGCAAATTAGCTTGCTATTAGCTTTATATACATCATCTCATTTGACCCTTATAACTCTCATGAGATAGGTCCTATAGGTATTATTGCCATTTTACAGATGAGGAAATGGAGGTTAGGAGAGGTCCAGTTACTTGCCCAAAGTCCCACAAGTGCCAGGATCATAATAAGGGTGTGGCACCCCCAATCCATTGCTCTTTTTCCAGTGCTATCTATAGTCATATTGCTAGGAGGTATCAGAGTTAGCATCTATTTCCAGATCTTCCTGACTCTGGTTTAGCACACAGAACTTTGCCTCTTCTATGATTCTAAGAATTTGGACCAGTCCTTTCCCTTCTTTGTGACTCAGTTTTCAAATCTGTAAAATGAGGAGGTATGAGTGTGTGTGTAGCAGGGTTGGACTAAATAGAAGCTTTTTTTTTTCCAGCTCTGGCATTCTATGAATATTTCAATGTTATTTTCTCTACTCTTACGGCAAAGGTGCTAGTACCTTACTGGCCCTTTTTTGAGGGAAGCATTTTATAAAAATTACAAAATGCTATATAACTGTGAAATTATATTGGGACAGATGGTGGACAAGCCTTAGGCCCAGAACTGAGCAGGAGTGAAAGAGATGATCAAAGAATTGTAAGAGAAAATAGGCTGGACGTGTGGGGAGGACCAGGGATGACAGGTGGATAACCTGAGTGCTCCATCAACACCCTCACAACATCAGTACCTAGTCAGCCATGCTCACTTTCAATCCAGCTCAGTCTCTGATTCCCTAGACTACTATTCCATCTGTGTCCCAGAAGCCCAGCAACATACTCCACTTCTGCAGTCTTCTCCTCCAATTGGTGAGTTTATTCCTGGAAACTCCATGTGAGGAAATACTCACCCAAGCCAACCGCGCTTCCTGCTTAGACCCCTAATGCTACAAGCTATTTTTGTCCTCTCTCTCTCCCATCCCTTTTCCTTTCTTTTCTCTTCCTTCTCTTCCCTTCTCTTCCCTTCTCTTCCCTTCTCTTCCCTTCTCTTCCCTTCTCTTCCCTTCTCTTCCCTCTCTCTCTTCTCTTCTCTTCTCTTCTCTTCTCTTCTCTTCTCTTCTCTTCTCTTCTCTTCTCTTCTCTTCTCTTCTCTTCTCTTCTCTTCTCTTCTCTTCTCTTCTTTTCTTTTCTATAAATGTTCTTGGGAGGTTTTTTGTTTGTTTGTTTGTTTGTTTTTGCTTTTTAGCCAGGCAATCGGGGGTTAAGCCCAGGGTCACACAACTAGTAAGTGTCAAGTGTCTGAGGCCAAATTTGAACTCAGATCCTCCTGACTCCAAGGCCAGAGCTCTATCTACCTAGCTGCCCCTCCCCCATCCCTTCTCTAGGCCCCCTTTACGGTTGTCTTCCTCCATTAGAATATAAACTCTTTGAGGACCCGGACTAGCTTTCTTTTTCCTTGTATTTGTATTCCCAGTGCTTAGCAGGGTGCCTGGCATATAATAAACTCTTGTTTGGTTTGGTTTTGTTTTTTTGGCTAGGCAATGGGGTTAAGTGACTTGCCCAGGGTCACACAGCTAGTAAGTGTTATGTGTCTGAGGCTGAATTTGAACTCGGGTCCTCCTGAATCCAGGGCTGGTGCTCTATCCACTGCACCACCTAGCTGCCCCTTTATTATATAAACTCTTAACAAATGCTTCACCTAATCTAATCTAGGGGAAGCTAGGTGGCTCAGTGCATACAGCACTGGATCTGGAGTCAGGAAGACCTGAGTTCAAATCTGGCCTCAGATACTTATCAGCTGTGTGACCCTGGGCAGGTCACTTAACCCCTGTAAAATGATCTGGAGAAGGAAATGGCAAACCACTCCAGGATATTTGCCAAGAAAACCCCAAGTGGGTCACAGAGTCGGACATGACTGAAAAAACGACTGGACAAAAATCTTGGGAGAAAGTGAGGAAAACCTCCAACACATTTAGGAGGGGAACTCTTGGAGCAAACTTATTGGAGGACACAGATGAAAACTGAACAGGCTGGATAGACACGGAAGGGCTGGGATCAGTGCAGTGTCTGCTGTACAACAGAAGTAAAGGGGCTCTGTCAATCAGTTACTTGCTTGATTGGTTATTGGAAGGAACATCCAAATGGATGAGAGTGCAGATTCAGCTGAGTATTTGAGCATTTGGCTATTCAAATAGGAGAAGTGATGTGGATAGAGAGCCAGGCTCTGAGTCAGGAAGGCTTGGGTTCAAATCTTGGCTCTCACGTAAGGTGCGTATATAACCCTGGGCAAGCCCCTCAACTTTTCAGGGTCCCCAGGCAGCTCTCTAAGATTATGAATGGCAAATTTGCTATAGATTGGCATTGGCAGAGAGAATTTCTTCATCTGGAGTTCCCCTAAACCAATGAAATTACATCTCTGGACACACACGCACACATATACATGCATACACATATGTATATACACATATACACACATAGACATATATATATGTGTGCTTGTGAATGTGTGTGTGTGCATTTACCAATGTAAATGGTAGATCTGAACCCAAATCTTCCTGATTCTAAAGCCAGCTCCCTGAACACTTTACCGTAATACATATGATACATATGCATACTCACATACACATACACATACACACACAAGCACATGCTGAGTGAAAATCTAGCCGGAGAAATGGAAACGAGAAGTCTGTATAATCCACCAACTTGATAATCAATATCCAAATAACTGAGAGTTATTTGTGTGTTGAATGTAATGTAGCTTTTAAAAAATGCTGGCTAATAATATTTATAGGAAAGACCAGGAATTATAAATTAATGAATTATTTTTCTGTTTATATTTCAGTTATAAAATTGCTTGCTTATTTATACGAATATTCATTTTTTTGTCCCAGCAGGGAGCTTCCTCCACTCTTACTCCACATAGTAGGTAAGTCCTATGTAGTTGCCTAAGGGCACAGTGAGGTCAAATGACCTGTCTAGGTCATACAACTGGGAAAAATAAGAGGCAAGATTTGAACCCAGGTCTTCCTGGCTCTAAGACTATTACTCTATCCACACTGAGTTAATATTTTTTATTTTAATGCTTGTATTTTTATGGGAATTATTAGAACATGGGCAGCTAGGTGGCACAGTGATAGAGCACTGGGCCTGGAGTCAGGAAGACCTGAGTTCATCTGGCCTCAGACACTTACTAGCTGTATGACCCTGGGCAAGTCACTTAATACTGTTTGCCTCTGTTTCCTCATCTGTAAAATGATCTGGAGAAGGAAATGGCAAACCACTACAGTTCTTTGCCAAGAAAACCCCAAATGGGGCTGCAGAGAGTTGGACATGACTGAAAACGACTGAACAAATTAGAACATGAAGATGTTGTTGGATCCATTATGTGAAGCATATCTATTTAAATCATACACCTGTGAAATTCCAATAGTTAAATTTTTTTAATGGCCACCTGCAATCCATGTACAAATTCCTAGGTAAACAAAGGAAAAATTTCTTTTAATCTCAATCCTACAACAATCCAGGCTTTTCCTAGCTTCTATGTCTTGGCTTACATTTTTTGTCATTGGAATGTCCTTTTTCTGCTTCTCCTATATGTCCTTTTTGACAGTTTTACCAACCCTCTGAGGTCCAGCTCAAATGTCATCTTGTGCATTAGTCTTCTCTGATCCTCAGATGAAAAGAGTTTTTCTCTCATCTTTTCTCATCACACTTTTAACTTCTTTTTTGTAATTATCACATTTTAACATGTATTATTATAATCCTTTCCCCAACTGCCTTTGGAGTATCATGGACTCGGGTTCAAATTGAGGGAATTATTAATGGTTATTTGCCTATCAGGCATGCTTTACTCCTGCCCAGTTGGAAAACTGGATTGCAAATGCTGAAGTTAACTTGAATCTAGGTGTTTAATTGCCTACCATGCTAACAGATCCAGGAAAGGAATAATATTTAAATAGTAAAATATTTAATGGAGCCAGAATTGAATAGCAAAGCAACAGAAAATAATCCCAACTGAATTTTTAAACAGGTAAAATTTCATTCCTTGTGTATTTTGGAACTTAAGTCTGGCTAAATCAAATTGTTCCAATATAGTGGACAAAAGAGTTGTACTTCTGGATTTCGTCTGACCTAAGTGAAAGGCCAACTCTGTGTCTACCTCATCAGTAGGCTCCCAGTGACCGATATCTTTATCTTAGCTCCTGGCTTTACTTTTTTCAGACACTACTGATAGCTCCTGCTCATAGTTGAAATTTATTGGTTCTTCTACAGCCTAGATATCTTATCTGCATGCACTGTGTTGAATTGACTCACAAAAACTACTAATGTCCCTTTTTTATTCTTAGGTATTTTCCCATGAGATAGCTCATGGTTACAAAAAGAACAGTGACCACCATTTTCTATATATCATCATTCTCCTCTCTCAACTTATCCGACACAGTCAAACTTTGCCACAGGCGTATATGCCTCATGGTATTTGGAGTGTTTTATTCTCCTAATGAATGTTCATACTCTAGACCTGGTGTCCTGGGAAATGCAGTCCTTTCCTACCCACCTTAGCCCTGCCAGTTATATCCTACTTTAGGCATCCTGAAAATCATAGTCCTTTCCCATCTCACTCATACCTGTTAAATTTTCTTTACTTGTCTGTATGTCTTCTCACTCCTAATAGATTATAGGCTCTTGGGGGTCAGGCACTGTGTCTCATTTTCTTTGTATTTCCCTCCACACTCAGCACATTAAATAGATACTTAACAAACAGTTAATGAACGAATTGAAATATAAGCAGAAGAATAATTCATGGTTGCCTATTTGTACTTCTCCCTCCTTAGGACTTTTTAGGACTTTACTCTCTTTGGACATTTGATCTGAGCTGTTTCACATGTCTACACACACACACACACACACACACACACACACACACACATCACACATTTGTATTCAGCCTCAAACACTTACCATTTATGAGACATTGGACAAATCACCAAAACCCTCTGAGACTTAGTTTCTTTATCTGTAAAGTAGCCGCTACCTCACAGCGTTATTGAGAAGATCAAATGAAATAAGGCGAGTGTAGAAGGGGTGATCAGTGGAGCCCTTGATTTACTGGACTGTGCTCTGGAAATTCCAGAGGGAACTGCTGTTTGATTCCCAATATCTAGGGGCTCATATTGAAGGTTCTTAATGACTTAAAGTCAAGGTAGGGATGGACTGACTTGTCTAGGAATCTGCTCCCTATGAAGCATAAAGGTGGAGCTGACTCCACCTCTCTCTTCTCCTAGCTTGATGCAGGACCTGCACCTTGCCTGAAATCCCAGATGTGGGTCCCTTGATCACCTCCGCTACATGTGTAAAGGGCTCAGCAAACCTTCAGACTGCTACACAAATGTCAGCCGTTATTATCATCATCATCACCTCAGAAGGTGGTGGTGAGGAAACTGTTTTGTCAACTTAAATGTCCAATAGGAATGTGAGTTATTATTAGAGCCAATAGGAACGTGATAATAAAATACTAAAGAAAGGCCTCTGTAAAAACTTCTTTAATCTTTTGAGAAATCCAATCTTGCTAGGAAGAAGGACATGTTGTTCTTCTATGGCTGTCACTGGGCTCTGACTTCTTTTCTCACTATCTCCATAAAATGAGAGATTTTTATCACTCCATCTCTGCATTCCAGCAGTATAAACTTGGTTTTTTTTGATAACTGCTGGGAATCAAGAGGCTGTCTTTGTTAGCCCAGCCTGACACATACACACACATTGTGGATTCAGAGATCAACTAGACCTTCCTTTTCAAGGCTCCAGTTTCTCTCCCTGCTACTATAAGGAAGCTGCTCCAAATAAGCCAGTCCCAGGAAAGTCTGTGAGAACATGTTCAAGTGGACATTCTGTGCATAATCAGTCCTCCAAGAACAAAGGGGCTTAGAATTTCCAGTACTCTCATCATGCCCAAAGTACTTTCCTTTCCTAGTAGCCTGAGATGCAGGATTCTGTTATAATGCCAACATTCCGTGGAGCTGATAATTTTTTCCTGAATACTGTCTTTGTCCTGACTTTTGACCTACAAGGGTTTTATTAGGATTGGTCTAATACATGGATAGAGTAGAAGACCTTTTGTATAATATAATTTCACAAGTGCTGAGAAGGCTGTAATGTACCCCTTCCCAAAATATTTTCCTATGTACTACTAATGCCTGAATTAAATAATAATAATAAATAATGATAATAGTAAGTTCCTCTAATAAAATGCAAGCTTCTGGAAGATAGGTATTGTTTTGTTATTGTGTGTTTATTTGTTGGAGATGGGTAGGAAGAGAGCATAATGGCCTTGGGTACTCGAAGGGTGAGAAGAAGCATTATGGTATGGGTGTGGGAAAGCAAAGATATGGGAAATTGAGAGTGTCAAGGACATCTTTGCTTAGACTAGGCCCTGGTAATAGCAATCATTTCTTTATCCGCAATGATGAAGACAAAGGAATGACTCCATTAATCATTCCAGGATCTAATCTTCACCAGTATTTACCCAGGGTACTTTCATTTTGGATATGTGAACATTGAAGTTAAATGACTCACCCAAAGTCATTTAAGCCATTACTCAGAAGAATCAACGACAGAATTGATGAAGATGATGAAGGACTTATCATAGGCTACTTAAAGAGAAGCTGGTGGGCATATTCCACCCACAAATGAAGAATAGATTATAGTCTTTATCTCCAAGTAGAATGAAAGACAATAAAACTTCACAAATTTAAATTGTTGCCATATATTCAGTTTAAATGAGTAGAAAGTATGAATTCAAGGATATTTTAAAAGGAAAGTGCATATTCTTTTACTTTATTTTTTCTCTTTTTAAATTCAATTTTATTTTATTTTCAGTTCCAAATTATCTTCTTCCCTTTTACCACCTATTGAGAAAGCAAGAAAAACAAAGGCTGTTACAAATATGTATAGTCATGAAAAACAAATTTCCATATTAGCCATGTCTGGGAAAAAAAGGAAAGAGAAAGGAAGAAAAGAAAAAGTAAAAAAAGAATGGATGGAAGAAAGAAAAGAAGGAAAGAAAAAGGAAGAAGAAAGGAAAGAAAGGAGGAAAAGAAAATATGATTTACGCTTTCTATCTGGAAGTGAGTGACATGTTTTATCATGAGTCCTTTGCAATTGTGGTTGGTCATTGCATTGATTAGAGTTTCTAAGTCTTTCGGAGTTGATTATCTTTATAATGCTGTTGTTATAAATTGTTTTTCTGGTTCTGCTCACTTCACTTTGCATCAGTTCATACATGTTTTCCAGGTTTTTCTGAAACGTTCCCCTTCATAATTTCTTAAAGCGCAATAGGATTCCATCACATTTATATAACATAACTTGTTTAGCCATTCCACAGTTGATGGACGTCCCTTCAGTTTCTAATTCTTTGATACCACAAAAAGAGCTGCAATAAATATTTCTGTATATATGGGTCCTTTTTCTTTTTATTGATATCTTTGGGGTATAGACCTAGTAAAGTTATTGATAGGTCAAAAGGTATGGATACACAGTTAAATAGCTTTGAAGACACAGTTCCAAATTGCTTTGCAGAATGGTTGGACCAGTTCACAGCTCCATGTACATTATGTTAAAGTACCTGCTTTTCTACAACTAGTCTCCTTTTTTGTCAATTTTGCCCATCTTACAGGTATAAGGTACTTACCTCAGAGTTGTTGAATTTGCATTTCCCTAATTATTAGTGATTTAGAGTAGATTTTCATTGGTTTTATTGGAAATCCATTTCACTTTTATTTTTCATTTTCATTGCTTGTGAATTTGCTTTTTTGTTTTTAATACTGGCAATTTGATTTTCTTTCTTTTAAAAATCAAATTAACTAATGGATAGCCACAAAGACTCAGACATGATGGAAATGATCGAACAACATCATCAACAACAATGAAATACATCTTATTAGTTAGAAAAAAAACCCAGTTCCTGTTTTATTAGTTCAATGATTTTTTTTAACTTTCAATTTTATAAATTTCTTCTTTGATTTCCAGGATTTCTATTTTTGTGTTCAAGTGGTTTTTTTTTAATCTGTTAGTTTTCTAGTTTGTTTGTTTTTTAGTTGCATGCCAAATTCACTTATCTACTCTTTCTTTTATTGATGGAAAACATATATATATATATATATATATATATATATATATATTTCCCCATAAGTACTGCTTTGGCTTCACCCCACAAGTTTTGGTATGTTTTCTCATTGTTGTTTTTGTCTTTAATGAAATTATTGTTTCCAAGACTTATTCTTTGACCTACCCATTCTTTAGGATTAAGTTATTTAGTTTTGAATTAATTTTTAATCTTTGCCTCAAAGGTCTGTTTTTGAGTGTAATTTTTATTATGTTATTATCAGTAAAAGATCCATGCAATATTTTTGGTTTCTTTGTGTTTGTTTGTGAGGTTTTTATGCTCTAATATCTGTTCAACTTTTATTGAAATGCCTTACGCATCTGGGAAATATGTTTACTCTGCTGCATTCCCATTCAGTATTCTTCAGTGGTATATCATATCTAACACTTTAAAAATTCTATTTAGATCCTTAACTTCTTTCTTCTTTATTTTATGGTAAGATTTAACTAAGTCTTAGAAGGGGGCAAATTAAGATACCCCACTATTATAGTTTTATTGTCTATTTCCTGCTATAACTCATTTAACTTTTCCTTTAAGAATTTGGATGCTATACTACTTTGTGCATGTATGTTTAATATTGATTCATTGTCTATTTTTAGCAAAATGTAGTCTTCATTTATTTCTCTTTTTTGAAACTAGGTCTACTTTTGTTTTTGCTTTGAGTTCATGTCCTTTTTACTTTAGCCGAAGCAAAATAGATTCTTCCTTTGCCTTTTTAACTCTGTGTGTATCCTTCTGTTTCAAGTGCATTGCTTGTATCAATGTATTATTGGATCCAGGTTTCCAATCCATTCTGGTATCTTCTTATGTTGTTGTTGTTGTTGGGGTGTGTGTGTTGGGGGGATGTTTCATCCCATTCACATTCACTATTATAATGATAATTGTGGAGTTCTCTCTATCCTATTGTTTTGTACTTTCTCTTTTCACCTGTGCCCTCTTTGAATTTGCTTTTGACTACTGCCTTCCTTAAACTACCCTCCTTATCTCCTCCTTTCACTTAACCTTGGCTGGTGGATCACAACTCAGGGAAGGAAGGTTCCCTCAGCTGAATCAACTTGGGGTGTCCTCAGTGCCAATTTTTTGTGAATATCTTCCCCTTGCTATGGCTAAGTAAATCTCTTTATGTTAATTGTTGAATGACATACAGGGTTCTTATTCTGTTCTGATATCAAACTTAAATCACCAGGGGACTGTCCTTAGTCAGGCCCAGACCAGAACAGATGGTTTAGTGACATTCAACAGATGTATATACAATATAATCAAAGCATTATCATAGAATAGCTAAAGGCAAATCCAGGATATTTATGGAAATCAGTTCAGTTAATTTCATAAACATTTCTTAAGTACCTACCATATATTTCTCTCTATTAGCCTTTGGTCAGTAGGATAGGGGGTACAAAGACAAATATGGAAACAGTCTCAGCCCTTAAGCTTATAATTTTCTAGGAAAGGAGATGGTGAGAAAGTGTAGCATGTACACAATGAAGTAAATACAAAATAATATGAAGAGGAAGAGAAGACTAAGTATTGGCGGGATGAGGTATTCAGGGAAGGCACAGATACATAAGCTGAGCCTCAAATGAAGCTGAGGGTTCTAAGAAGCAGAAGTGAGAAAGGAGTGCAGTTTAGACATGAGGAATAGCATTTTAAGGCAAAACCAAGGTGATGAAATGTAGAATTCTAGTAATAGCTGGTGAACAAGTTTGGCTTGAAGGAAGTCAGTCAACTGATAAGCATTTATTAAGCACTTACTATGTGCCATGCATGGTGCTAAATACTGAGGATACAGAGAAAGACAAAAATATGGTTTCTCTCCTCAAGGAGCTCCCATTCTAATGGGAAAGTTAACGTGCAAAAAACTACATGCAAGATATATACGGTGTCAATTGGAAGTAGTCTTGAGAGAAGGCACTAGCAGTGGAGGGGAGGGGCAGGGAGTTAGTGCTGGGAAAATCATCCTGCAGAAGGTAGGATTTTAACTGAGTCATGAAGGAAGCCAGGGGGCCAAGGTGAGGAAGGGAGAGCATTTGAGGCATGGCAGACAGACAATGGAAAAGCACAGTGGACATTGGAGAGTCCCATGGAAGGAATAGCAAGGATAGTGTAGCTGGATCATAAAATAAATGGGTGTGTTCTGAAGGACTTTAAATGCTTACTAGAGGATTTTTTTCCCTTTGAGTCTGAAGGTAATAGGGAGCCGCTGGAGATTACTGAATAGGGGGATGAATGTAGTCAGACCTGTACCTTAGGAAAATCACTTTGGTAATTGAGGGGAGGATGGATGGGAATGGGAAGAAATTTGAAGCAGGGAGAACAATTAGAAGGCTACTGCAATAGTCCAAGCATGAGCTGGGCCACCAAGATGGTGGCTATGAGAGTGAAGAGAAGGGGATATATAAGAGATATTGTAAAGATGGAAACAACAAAACTTGGCAATAAACTGAATATGTGGGGTAGAAAGTAGAGGATGACACCAAGGTCAGGACCCTGGTTGACTTGAAAGGATGGAAATGCCCAAGACAGTAATAAGGAAGTTGGGAAGAGTAATAAGGGTTGGGGGAGGGGGAGGAAGATAACAAATCCTCTCTTATAAATGTTGAGTTTGAGATGCCTACAAAACATCCAGTTTGAGATGTCCCAGAGGCAGTTAGTGATACAATACTGGAACTCAGTTGAGAGCTTAGGGAAGGATAATTAGATCAGAATATCATATGCATAGAGATGATAATTGAAACCATTGGAGCTCAGGAGCTCACCAAACAAGACAGTGTAAATTTGTAGGAGCTCTTAACTTTTTTTGTGTGTGATGGACCCCTATGGCAGTCTGGTGAGGCCTATGGATCCCTTCTAAGGATAATATTTATAAATGCAAAAACCAAAATACATAGGATGACAAAGGAAACCAATTACATTGAAATACAGTTGTCAAAATATTTAAAAAAAAAAACAAATTCACAGACCCCAGGTTAAAACCCCCTGAACTAAAGGGAGAAGAGAAGCAGGCCCAGGAAAGCCCCTTAGGGGCATGCATCAGATGGAGATCCATCTAAGGAAACTGAGGGGTGGTCAAACAGGTAGGAGAAGACCAAGGAGAAAGCATTGTCATGAAAAACTAGATGAGAGAGTATCCAGTAGAATAGAGTAGTCAGTGGTGTCAAAGGATGCAGAGAAATCAAGGAAAGTATATTGAGAAAATATATTGTCTTTCTCTGTATCCTCAGTATTTAGATTTGATAATTAAGAGCTCATTGGTGAGGGTGGGTGGGGAGGGAGGAAGAGAGAAAATTTGAAACCTAAAGTTTTAAAAACATATGTTTAAAAAAATGTTTTCACGTGCTACTGGGAAATAAGAAATATAGGAAATGGGGTACGGAAGTCTATCCTGCCCTACAGGAAAATAGAAGGGGAAGGGGATAAGAGAAGGGCAGAGAGATAGAAGAGAAGACAGACTAGGGGAAGGGATATTCAGAATGCATGCCATCTTGGGGTAGGGGTAGGGGGGAGATGGGTTGAAAATTTGGAACTCAAAAACTTGTGGAAGTGAATGTTGAAAATGAAAAATAAATAAATTTATATTAAAAAAAAAAGAGCTCATTGGTAACTGGAGAGAGTAGTTTCAGCTGAATTATGAGGCCAGAAGCCAAATTGCAGAGGTCTGGAAGAGAATTGAGAGGAGAGGAAGTAGAGGCATGTTTGTAGGCCACTTTCTTAAGGGGTTTAGCCACAAAAGGGAAGAGAGATAGAGGACGATAGGTGGAGGGGATGGTCGAAGCAATGAAGGTTTTCTATAAAGATAAGGGAGACATAGACATGTTTGTAGACAGCAGGGAAGCAGCCAGTAGCATAGAGAGACTGAAGAAAAGTGAGAAATTGGGGGTGATAGAGTGGGCAATCTATGGAGAAGATAGTATAGAAAGGGGGCAGCTAGGCGGTGCAGTGGTTAGAGCACTGGCCCTGGATTCA